CAGGGTAATCGTTTTCATTACTGGAAGAAATATAAAAACAATTTACTACATGGTATCAACACCCAATATTTCCTTATTCTTTTGAAAACGTGAAAGATTACTCTTTCTAAAATAAATTGGAAAATATATTATGGTGCAAATAGAATATTCGTTGAAAATGAAATAGACTTCAACCTTGGATAAACGATAGTTTTAGACGAAATTTCTACCTATGGAAAGAAATTGACGTATAATTAATTCTTCATGAACATTTAAAAAGGTTCTCAAATTCTTTTGTGATTGCATGTATATAGTCACGAATTTTTTTTCTCGGCTAACATAAACAAAAGCCAATTTTACAAGAAAAATTCTCGTTAAAGATATACCTTCTTTGCTGATAGTCCAATGTAATATTTGTTAAAATTAATTATTAAACACAACCAATGTATCTCGGATTTTGTTTTTATATTATAATAACAAAATTATCGAAAAAAGCAGATTTTATCTGTTATTGTTATGTAAAGCTTTATATTGCTGTAAGTTCATCTCAAAATCTATTTGTATTGAATCTCATTCTAATCATCTAATGGTAATAAATATTATTATTATTATTTCATTAAATAGTCATTACCATTATTTTAAATGAAAATATGTTATTAAAAATCGCATTCCGGCCTGCAGACTACAGATCTAGTCCGTATTTACTATATTTTGTTAAATTTTGTTCTCGCTTGCTAATTTCTAATACGAAATACGCGAATATAAATGAAGAGTGAAAACAAAGTTAAAAAATTCACAAATATTTACGAGATTGATTAGAAATAGTGGAATGAAATATAACATTGCATACATTTTGTTCTAAATAAAGTGTGCACTGGATATGCATCCAGTACTGCCACATTTATTTATGCACTATTTATTTAGAAGTTTGCTTTCACTTAAATATGAAGCAAAATAATAATCGAAAAATTGCAAATCTAGCAACTCCTCTACTATGGGACGTAGGCGTCCGACAAACATGTAAATTTTACTTCATCCATGGAGGGGGACTAACGACTTTTCTCATTAGGAAAATATCAAAGAGGGGGCAAAACTGTTTCGGATCGCGCCGGTCTGAAGGCTATATTATGAGAGTTTCGGCCCGTTGTTAGAAGGTTAATGGATATTTTTCAGAAATTAAAAAAAAGGGTTAATTGTTAATGTATTAAGACTATCTTAAGTATGCAGTTTAATTATTTATAACTAACTGCTCACCCTTAGAAGTTATTTCTATATGTTATGGTGAGTTATTTCCTTTCCTTAATCTTTATTGTGTATGCAGGGTACAGTACAAAAATATAAAAGGTTATTCTTTACAGCTAGGAAGACTTTAAAAAATATTAAGCAAACTATCAGCTGTGGTACTTCATTGGGTTATTGGAACTTTATATTAAATACTGTATGTTATCTGAATTGCAACTTCAGCAAATCTACACAAAGCTATGACACTAACTGGGCAGGCAAAGGCAAAAAAGGCAAATTGCAACCGACTTTCAATGCTTATCAACATCATGCATTCACTTCCATTCTGATCAGTGGCTCTCTGTCTCTAAGCAAGCAACTGTGGCAACAGCCAAACTTCTGTTATGAAGTTTGGCTATCAAGCTGATTATTATTTTACTTCTCTGTTTAAATTATGCCATTTGATATAAAATTTGCATATACTTCTGGCTTGAGTGAGTACGGTGTGAAAGAAAGAATCACTGTAAAGGTAACTTTTAGTACAATTTGAATAAAAAGCCACTAATATATTTTAAAATTATTTGGGACTATTACAACATAAAATTTAAATGTTTGAAGAAATTTTGTAGTTGAATGCTAATTACTTAAATGTTGTGAAGTAATTTTTTTTCCTTGAATTTGTTGTACAACTAAGTTAAATATTATATTATGTTTAATAATAATGTATCCCACTTCAGATTTATTTTATTATTACAAATTACAAATGTGGTATTACAGAAGTGAAGTTCGGGTATACACAATTGCTTAAATTTATTCAATTCCCATTTTCTTGATAGGTCCTTAATTTTCTTCTTAACTTAATTTCCATGGGCAGAAGTGTGTACAAATCCTGATGTCACTTTATTTCTCTTTTGCTGCAGTCGCACAATATATCCGCATAGTAATATATGCATTTAAAGCCATAGCGGGGAGTGTGTGCTATACCTGTCTAACTGTCCAGTACGATGGCAAAATACTGGTGTTCCCATCTTCCATTACCTGTTGCATGTATTCTACCTCAGTTGCCAAATTAAAATGTTAAAAAAAAATTATAAATATAAATTGAAATATAAGTTGTTAGAATGTTATCATGCTGTAGAATGTTTTGGGTAATAACACAGCGGCAGCTGTACTTTTTCATTAAAATGTGCTTCTTGTGGACCCTGTTCATATAACTGATTCCTTATGCAACATTTTGTTTAAAGTTTCAAAATGAAGCTTCATGTCTTAATTAAGTTTATTAATTATAGTTTAATGAAACATTAAGAATTTAGAGAAGCATGGGAAGATGATGGATTTTTTTCTTGTGATCTGGTTAAAGAAGGCATAAAACCTTTTTAGAAGAGTATTGTTAACAAACCCATTTATTAGTTTTTATCATTCTATGAATTTTAGTCATTTGCTGTGAAATTAAGTTTATTGTTAAGCAAACAACATTGTTTGTATTTTAAGCTATTGACATTTAAATACTGCATGAATTTGTATTCTTAATTAAAAGATATAGATCCGTGAACAATTTTATTATTATTATTATTATTATTATTATTATAGTGGTTCTGTAGATGATTTTATTTTTAGACATTGATGGATGAACATTTGGTTGCTTTTCCTGAAAAAATGAACTTCCAGTGTAAGGGTGGGAATATTTGATGTTGTGATTTTTTAGTGTTTATATATATATGATAAATCAGTTAATTTTTTTCTTTGCATTAAAAAGTATAAAATGAAATTCAGAGATCTGCTGTAAATTTTTACTTCTGTTGTATTTTTAGAAGGAATAGGTATATGTTAATAGTTGTATGTGAGTTTTATTTCCTTAAAGAAAGAGTATAGAAAGAAAATACTCTAAATTATGAAGGTAAAATTATGTAAATACTTACTATTCTGGCGTGCATATCAGTATGAATTGATGAAAATATTGATTTTTAATTTAACAAAAGAAAATCTGATGATAATGCAAAAAATTTTTTTAAAACATTAATGTTTTGCTTGTTTGAATTCTGGCAGGAAAAAAGCATCATAAACTAAAGTTAAAAAAAGAAAAATATATTGTAGGTCCTGTTCATAGATCTTTACATTATTATTTCTAACTCACGAAATTTCACGAAAAAATGAGTATACCTTATACTTTATAATAATATACTATATATAATATAATACTTTATATATTCCTTAAGCTATTTATAAACTATTTCACTGAAGAAATATTATAAATTCTAAAGAGCATGCCAGTTGGAAAATTTATAGAGTTTTGTTATCAAATTCTGTTTTTAGGAACAATTCAGCATTCATTGATGATTGAAAATAGTTAAATATATTACTTACAAGATTTTGAAAATTTATATTCATCTAGAATTTTACTTTCAGGACAAACCATGTTGACAATTACATTTCAGAGACACATCAGATGCCTAAGGAACTGGTGCAAGGTGTCAATGGTCAGACTGCCTATGAAGAAGAGAATTACAGGGTACTTAGAATAATTTTGAAATAATTTGCACTTGCTACTTAATTATTTTATTAATTTTTGTCATTTTAAACCCCCACACTTTTTTCCCCTCTTAAAGAGAAGTATGATTTCCATTATTTCTGAATTTCTGAAGTGTAAACAAAAGCTGTCTTCTTCCCTCACAAGCTTTGTGGTATAAACTTGAGTCTGTGGCAACTTCTGTTTTTTTTTTTTTTTTCTTTCAAAGTTATTTTTATAATAATTTTGTTTTTATATTGCTTTGTTTTTTAATTTTTGAAGAAATATTTTTTACTTAATAATATGAACTGTGTTACATATCAAAATAAATGTAGATATTTAAAAAATTGCGATAGGTAATGAAGACTCCTGGTTTTTAGCTTTGAATCAAACAATAAAGTAAATATAGCCAGTTTTTTTATAAGATCAAAAACAACTTCAAGTAGATGAAACATGTAGTATCAGTTGAGATTAGTCAGTCATTATAATGGATTTCTAACCTAATCCACCTCTTGTTTTGAATGTTCACCATTAAATTCTGTTAAAGTAGTATTTTTTAATAGTATACAGCAAAAGTATAGCATAATTTATTAAATATACTTCTTGACTTAAAAGCAGTACTGATTTTCTGAAATCTTTCAACTTTAACAATGTAGGTAAGAAAATACAGTAATAAATAAAGTATTTATGCTATGAAAGAGTGTTAAATAAATCGATATCATATGAAGAAGTAAGTCGAAAAATAAGAAACGTATCTTGTCACATTTTTATTGAAACTTAACAACATTTGCACAACATTACAACAGCATCCATAGCTCGCACGCGGAGGAGAAAAACTTGGTGTTGCCAATATGGTAAATATAAATGTACCAAACTAACATGCCTCCTTACATTTATATTTACTAATTACAAACAAACATAGATGTAAGCAACCTTTTCATTTTTACCAATTACAATTAAGCATAGATATAAACAATAACATTCAACACTTAACACAAATTATTTTTTTAAAAAGTTTCTTTCGTTAACTTAAATGTTAAAATTAAAGTTAAACACAATTTAGTTTACATAAGGACATTACCAAAATCTATTTCATTTCAAGCAAAAATATTTAAATAAACATCACTTAAATAAACAGTATACAAAATTTATTTAAATTTCAAACCTTCTTTGAATTTCATAAATTTAATCTTTCCTAAAGACTTAGTAAAGATATCTGCAATATTTGATTCTGAATCAATCTTTACAATTTCAATTACTCCATTTTGAACATTTTCTTGAACATAATGATATTGAACTTCTATGTGTTTTGAATTTTTAGTGAAGTTCCCATACTTAGCAATAGCCAAAGCTCCTTGAATTATCTTCATAAATTTTAATGGGGTTAGTTATATCAGCAAAAACATCATTCACAACATTTTTTAAGAAAATTAATTTCTGTCACAGCCTCAGATAGAGCAATATATTCAGCAAAAGTGGAAGATTTTGTCACACAATTTTGCTTTTCGGATTTCCAATAAATTGGATTACCAAATAATTCAATAACAAACCCTAGTAGTTGACTTTCTGTCAACAATATCACCTGCCCAATCAGCATCAACATAACAATTCATAATATCAGTTTTAAGATTTTTACTATAGAACTGAATAGTAAATTTTAGATTAATTTTAGATGTTTTGTATAGTACAAATACTTTAAAACTTCTCAAAGCATATTTGAAATGTGTCTCATCATAACAATTTTGAAATCTACTTAAATAATTTACGCTGAAAGATATGTCTGGTCTAGTACCATGACTAATATACAAAGAGTGCTCCTATTAGATTTCTATATTTGACATTTTGATTTAAATTAGATTGGCTTAGTTTAAGATTAATCTCCATTGGTGTATCATAAAGCTTTAAATTTTCAATGCCATACCAGTTTAGCTAAAGATTCAATATAATTTTCCTGACTCAGTGTTAAAGATATTACTTTTCTCATTATCATATTAAATATCAATTCCAATGTAGCTTTTTACTTTATTTAAATCCTTCATTTTAAATTTATTATGTAGTTGTTCCTTAATAGGAAGGTTGCTTATATCCTTAATATCATCAATTACTTGAGTATCTTTGCAATATTTCAACAAATCATCAACAAATAAAAGATTATATACAAATACATCATTTTCTGATTTTACATACAGGACAATAATCATATTTACTTCTACAAAATCCTAGACTCTCAATATACTCATTAAAACACACATACCAAGCACAGGGCTTTCTTTCAACCCATATAGTGCTTTTCTTTAATTTATATACTCTATTCGAATTATCATTATAGCCTTGTGGTTGTTTAATAAAAACCTTAGATACAACATAACCATTTACAAAAGGCAGTCTCAACATCAATTTGATGAATATTTAAATTATACTGACAAGAATATGAAAGTAACAATTTTAAGGTTTGCATCTTAATGACAGGGGAGTAAGTATCCTCAATACTATCTTTTTGCTGGAATCCTCACGGATGCTCGAATTTTCACTAATAAAACCTTGAACCACTAATAAAACTACACTTTAAAAACATTACCTGGTTTTCTTTTGAATACCCACTTCACATCTAGAATTGCTTTATCCTCTGGTTTAGTCACTAGTGTCCAAGTGTTGTTTTTTAACAAGACTGTGCTCATTTCACTGTCCATTGCCTCTTTCCAATGTCCAGCCTCGCTGCATGTTGTCGCCTCTTTCAAAGTTACCTGGAACTGTAGCATCACAAAAATTTGCACTAACACAGTAGTACCCTGAATTCTTCATGAAATCGAACTGGTGGTTTGATTTGCCTTCTTGGTCTCATTCCACTTTTTGTTTCATCTTCATTTATCACACTGTCCTTGGAGTTATCATTACTCGATTCACATGACACTTCCTGAGGTTCATTCTTCTTATTTGTATCATCATTCTTATCTTCATCATCACAACCTACACACATTATGTCTTCTTCAATAATGTCAACATGCCTGGCAACTATTATTCTGTTATTCATCAAAACTCTATATCCAAGTAAAATTCCAAATTCAGCCTTTTTATCCCACTTTCTCTTTTCTTCTGGTATTCTTACACACACTCTACTTCCATATAATTTCAATTCATTAGCAGATGGTTTCCTATTGAAAAATATTTCATATGGTGTCTTCTTTATAACAGTATTTGTTAATGTCCTGTTTTTCAAATAAGCAGCAGCTTTAATTACTTCAGGCCAGTAACATTTGTCAACTTTTGCTTCGGCTAAAAGACATCTAGCCATATCCATTATAGTTATGTTGTAATGCTCAACAGTACCATTCAATTCATTTACATATGGTAGGCATGACTTTATCTTGAAACCTTTTTGTCTTGCAAATTTGTATATCTTGCTATTCATATATTCACTACCATTATCACATCTGAGTTCTTTGATAGTCTTCCCTGTTAAGTTTTGAATTTCATTTACATATTCAATTAAGCAATCAGAGACTTGATCCTTATATTTGATACAATAAATTTTTGCCAACTTGCTATAATCATCAATAAAACTCACAAAGTATTTCTTCACCATTACATCCACTTGTTCTGTGAGGTCCATTTACATCTGTATGTATAATCTCCAGAATATCTTCTGCTTTTTCTTCTATTATTCTTGAATGGTAAATTGTACATTTTATTTTCAATACATATGGCACACTTCATATATTTCGGTTTTCTATTTCTATTCTATATAGGGATTCCTTCTAATAGCTGATCTTTGCACATAATATCCAGATATTTAAAATTTACATGTCCAAATGAACGGTGCAATTTTTCTTTTAACATTAAATTTACTGTTGGTCAAATTTGCAAACATTTTACTATTTTTAACATAACTCTTTACTTTATATAATCTTTTTCTTTCGCTATTGCTACTAATGAACCATTGACATCATATATTTTAGAGAACTTTTCTTTTGAAAATATTTTATGATTATCAGTAATCTTCGAATAACTTAATAAATTTGCTTTCATTTCTTTTACATAAAATACATTCTTCAATGTTACGATAGATTCAGAGTTATATACAGAAAAAGAAACTATTATATTGCCAACCTTTGTAGCTTTCAAAATCCTTCCGTCACCGACTTTCACTTGAATAGGATCCTTCAAAAGTGACTTGCTCTTTGAAATATTCATCACTGTTTATAATGTGGTCTGTGCATTCCGCTATCCAGTAACATCACATTGTATTTGCATTTTTACTTCGTCACATGTTACTTTTGATAACAGTGGTGTAAAAACTATTGCCTTGATGACTGTTTATTCTGTGGTTAGAGTATGCTCCGGTGCTCCATGCCCACAATGTCCACTAAAAGCACGACTACGTTCTTCGATTGTTTGAAGCACTTTCGACCACGATAATTAGTGGAGCCATTACCATGATAGTTCCTTTGATGGACATGCCAACAATTTTTTTAATGTGACCAGGTTTTCCACAATTATAACAGACATTCCCTTGTGGACCCGATTTGCTTGTTTCAATTTTGAACACTTTTGATTTTTCTGCTGGTGCACAATCTTCATAATCATTTTTCTCTTCAAGTAATTTTGATTTGGTTTTGCTCTTTAGGTAATCAACTGTTCTGTCCTTCTCTAGTAATACATCTATTAAATCACCAATGTGACTGTAATTTGAAGGTAATGCTCTTAGCATATAGTTCAATTTTTTTGTTCCGTCACGGTAGCGCCAACATGTTTCAGCTCGTTCACATACTGATTCAGAAGTCAAACAACAAAAATCATCGAAAATATATTTACATCAGGATAATTTTTCAGTTTCCACACATTCTAAGTTATTTCGACAAACAATTTGTAGAGATGTTGAAGTTTTTAAATACATTGCATCAAATTTCGTAATTATATCAAATGCAGTCTCACACTCGTGAATACTATATTCCAATTGCTTGTTTGTTATGGCGCCGTAAATGTAATTTGTAGCTTGGATATCC